AAGGCCTGGAGGGGACAGGAGCTTCACAAGGAGAGCAACAGAACCAAAAAATCTGGGCCCTGGGGTCTTTTCTGAGACTGACATTCCAACCAAGGAACATTCATGGAGATAACCTAGAGCCCCTGCACCAATGTAGCCCTTGGCAGCTCAGTGTCCAAGTAAGGGTTCCCTAGTAAGGGGAACAGGGACTGTCTCTGACATGAACTCAGTGGCCGTTGGTCTAATCACCTCCCCCTGAGGGGGAAGCAGCCTTATCAGGCCAGAGAGGAAGATATTGCAGCCATCCTGATAAGACCTGATAATCTAGGTTTAGATGGAAGGGGAGGAGGACCTCCCTTATCAGTAGACTGGGGGAGGGGCATGGGAGGAGAAGAGGGAGGGAAAGAGGGTAGGATTGGGAAGGGATGAGGTAGGAGCTACAGCTGGGATACAAAGTGAATAAATTGTAGTTAATAAAAATAAATAAATTTAAAAAGTAAGATTACCTGCACCCTGCCCAAAGTTTGGCTGAGTCTCAGCCTCTGCTTTGATACCTCTATCAATGGACTCTTTCAAAAGGCATCTGTGGTAGACTCCTGTCCTGTTCCCTGTCTTCTACTGCTTCCAATGTCTACCTCATTTGTCCTTTTGAATGAGGATTCAGTATCTTCCCTAGGATCTTTTTTATTCTTTAGCTTCTTTAGGAGTATAGATTTTAGTGTGTTTGTTCTATATTATATGGCTAATATCCACTATGAGTGAGTGTATACCATGTGTGTCTTTCTGCTTCTAGGTTACCTCACTCAAGACAATCTTTTCTTGTTCCCACCATTTGCCTGCAATGCAGCCTGTCCTGATGAGAACTGATAAGCTAGGGTCAAATAGAAGGGGATGAGGACCTCATGTATCAGTGATAAGAGGAAGGAAGGTGGGATTGGGAGGAGACAAAGGAGAGGGACACAGCCTGGAAACAAACTGAATAAACTGTAATAATTGATTAAAAAAATAAAACAAAGAGAAGACAAGAAAATGCTAGTATTTCTAAACTGCTGAGAAGCCAGCACAGATAAATACCTTTTATAATTTTTCTTCTAGAAATATTGTGTTTAAGTTCTTGGTGCTTATCTCAAGGCTAAATCTCAATCAGACAAAGAAATTTGTAGAACCAACAGGCCTACTCAACACCTGCAAAATCCTTGTAGCAATGAAATTCTACAAAGTTAAGCTGAAACCTTTTCAAGATTAAAATGCTGGGAAGGACAAAAAAAAAAGTAGGGCTGTAATTTCATTCTACTTAAAAATAAAGTGCTTTTCCATTAAAAAAAAAAACTTGCTATTGATTAAGAGCTAAACTAGACAAGGGATTTTGGTCACCTTAATGACATTTGTGTCATTGTGCCTTTTAATCCACTATTGTATTGGCTGTAGTGCCATGGGGAAAATAACTTTCTTTTCCTCATAAATTCATTGTTAATTCTGAAGAATTTTTATCATATTAGCATGCTATCTTGACAGTAAAATTTTAATTGCAGACTCTGAACTGTTACTTGCACATATTCCCTTTTTCAGCATGCTTCAAAATTCTTTCCACACCAGCAAATAGGAAATTTACAAGCAAAGAAAACATGTTGTATAAAATTTGTTAGAACCTGCTGTGCTATCTAATATAGTAGCTACAATCTGCACAAGAGTATTAAAAATCAGCTAAATAAAACACCCAATGCGTTATAGACCTTCTTGGTTTTAGCACATACAATCCTGTATCCAACCAGACTGGTTAGATACCCTATCCAGAATTCTCTCTCACACGTGTCATGCATTTTCTTGCTTTGAATTCCCACCCCCAGCCCCAAGCGGGAAGGCTCAGCACCATATATTTCTGCCTCTGCTCTATTTAGTTTCCCCATTTGTAACACCGGGTTCATCTCAAGGCATGCATTATTCTTCTAAATCCCAAGAACTCCAAGTTCAACTCTTCGACCGTTAAGGAAGTAGTTTCCAAGTTTGGCTGGATAAAATTATCTGGAGATCATCTGGAAAACACCAATGTTCTCTACTCCTGTTACTTAGAGGAGAACTGGTTTAGTGCCCAGAAGCTGGCTCTAAGCAGCCTGTGAACAATAGCTAAATTGTTGAGTATTTTGAGAACCATTGGTTAAATACTGCCATTATTTTTTCCATTCATTTTCTTCTTGCTATTATTATTATTATTTATTTGCTTTGTATCCCAGTTGTAGCCCCCTCCTTCATCTCCACTCGGTCCCACCCTCCCTCCTCCTCCCCTATATCTCTTCCCTATTCCACTGATAGGGGAAGTCCTCCTCTCCTACTGTCTGATCCTAGCCTATCAGGTCCCATCAGGACTGCTTGTATCCTCTTTCTCTGTGGGCTGGATAGGTCATCCCACCAGGGAGAAATTATCAAGGAGCAGGCAACTGAGTTCATGTCAGAGACTGTCTCTTCTCTCCTTACTAGGGAACCCACATAGACTGAGCTGTCTATGGGCTACATTTGGGCAGGAGTCTAGGTATGGTCTCTATGCATGGTCTTTGGTTGATACATCAGTCTCTATGGTCCATCATGGGCCCAGCTTTTGTTGGCTTTATTGGTCTCCTTGTGAGGCTCTTGTCCCCTCCAGGTCCTTCTATATCTCCCTCCTTCCATAAGTCTCCCTGTGCTCTGTCCAAAGTTTGGCTGTGAGTCGCTGCATCTAATTTGATCCCCAGCTGGGTGGAGTCTTTTAGAGGATGTTTGTGGTAGGCCCCATCCTGTTCCGTCTCGTCTACTGCTTCTGGTGTCTATCATATTTGCCCTTCTGAATGAGGATTGAACATCTTCCCTAGGGTCATCTTTGTTGTTTAGCTTCTTTAGTTCTGTAGATTTTAGTATGTTCATCCTATATTATATGGCTAATGTCCACTTACAAGTGAATACATACCATGTGTGTCTTTCTACTTCAGGGTTACCAGTAGGCTTAGGTTTTTCACCAAACCTACTTTATTTAAGGTTCTTAAGTACTTTTACCTCCCTTTCAACTCCCCACCAACCTTAGGTAGGAGATTAATAGGGAAAAGAGCTGTAGTCCTCTTTTATTTACTTTCTACTGAATAGGGTCTATGAGTCCTTAGGAGATTACCAGACTCAGTTGTCAGGATACCAGCAGTCCAGTCCAAAGCAGCATGAAGCAGCAACATGAAGTCAGAAAAAGCCTCAGGACAGTTGGATTGCCCAGAAAAGCTCTCGGGAATGTTTCTCTCTGTCAAGTCAAGTGTCAAGGCACAAAGACCAGCAGGCCAACGTCGATCCAAAAAGCGACTCTTACTTTATGTAGGTCGTCTCTTCAAAGCCTACCCAGGGATGTTCTCAGCTGGTCAAAGTCATGGCCCTGGCATGAGGGTGCAAAACATCACGTGCCCAGCTTGCAGCAAAATATCACATGACCAAACTGAGTCCAGAAACTTCCTCTTCAGTTACCTCCCTCAGGATGATTTTTTTTTTCCTACTGTGGTATATTTATACAATGGAATACCACTCAGCTATTAAGAACAGGGAAACCATGAAATTTACAGGCAAATACTGCCGTTATTAAAAGCATTTATGAACTTAAAACTGAACTGATCTTATAAAAAGGTAACTAATGCCCATTTCTTTCAAATTATTGATTATATTTTACTGTTACCTGTTCTTTCAGAGTTATTAGTGTGCACAGTATGTATGTGTGTGGTGTGGCGTGAATTCTCTGTTAATGTGCTACAATACATTCCTTCCAAAGTTTGTTTTCAGTCATGACTTGTGATAACTCAAAACTGACCATTCAGAGTTCCTACAGGACAGAGGCTGGTAAATGATAAAAATGAGGACTTGAGTTAAGGTTTCATTGATTATTTGGGATAAAACATGGACAAAATATTTTGTTTTGTTTTAAATACATTTAAAAACATTTTTATTGATTCTTTGTGAATTTTACATCATGTACCCCAATCCCTCTCATCTCCCCATCCCTCCATAACCACCTTTGCAACTTAGATTAAATTTAAAAGTGTAAAATTTCACATTGTGACTTGTACACACAAAAAGTACACAAAAATTGTTTCCTGAGTTATCAAAGAAATCACTCATGACACTAGTAAACAGGAACAGCCACATGGACCTATCTCTGTAGTGTTACTTTTGTTTTGTGGATAGGAATATCAATTGATGTTCAGGCCAGAACTGTCCTGTTTTCTAATTTGTAACTGTATGACTACGCAGAAATCAACCGGCACATCGTGTTGGCTCTGTGAAAGCTGCAATAGAGCATTACGTGTTTTATTATTGTTTGGCACTTCTGCGCCCCGTATCTTCATGTCATCTTTCTTGGGCAGGTTTGTGCAAGTGGCTGCAGCTGCTGTAAGTTTATGAGGGCAGTGGTCATGGTTTATCCAGACCACAGCTTTCCACAGCAATCCTCCCGGCCACCTCCTCCTACATTCTTCTGTACTCTGCTGCATGGTGTCCCCTGTGCCCTGGAAGGCCTGACATAGCTATCCCACTCTGAGCAGGTGTTGGACATTTGCCATCACATCTTTAAGTGTGACCCATGCATCCGTAATTTTTAATTTCTTCTTTAAGGATTTTGTATGTAAGTACTGTATTTTTTTTAATCATTCTTTCTCCCTTTTCTGTCTCTAATTCCTCCTGTGTTCTTCACGTTCCTTCTCATACTCATGGATTCTTATTCTTTAATTATTAGCATTACATGTATGTGTGTATTCCTTAATGATAAGCATATCACGTATGTGCATATAAATTTATAAATACGATGTACTTACATAATTTTGTGTTGCTCATGTGTTTCGGACTGACAGTGTGGGACTGGCTAACACAGCAGGGGGGCTTGTTCTTGGAGAAGACAGAATCTCCTTCTCTCAGCAGTCATTAATTTCCTGTAGCTCTTCTTCCAGTGCTGAAGTCTTATGATAGTTCCCCAATCCTCACTGGCATGCCAACTGGTATCATCATTTTTTAGACCTCGTTTAGGTGTGGCCGTATCGTTGAGATTTCTTGGGTGTAGCCTCCCTGTTGTATATAGGACGCTGTATTGCAGTAAACATCCTGTCCTGGTCCTCTGGATCTTACAGTCTTTCTGCCTTTTCTTCTGTGATATTCCCTGAGCTTTAGGTGTATTGGTTGTGTTGTAGATATAACAGTTGGGGCCGGGTATCCCACAGTCATTAGTCCTCTTCATTCTAAGCAGTTGTGGCTCTCTGTAATTATCTCTGCTGGGGGGAAAAACCTTCTTTGATGAGGGATGTTAGCTACATTTACTTGTAGGTACAAGGATAAACATTTAGAATGCAGTGAGAAATCATAACAGTTTGATAAGAGTGGCAGTAGTGAGTTCTATTTTAGGGTCGATGGCTTCACAAGCCAAGGTTAGTACTGTAGCTTTGTGGTACCAGGCATAAATTTCCTCCAACTGAGCAGGACTTTAGTCAAATTAGACAGCTGACACTATTGTGCCTTTCGGGATTATATTGCCATTTTAGTATTGTTGTTATTCGTAGGCAATACAGTTGAGTAGGACTAATGATTCCTTTTTTTCCCTTGGTGGCTTGTATAGATCCTGCCTGTACTTAAGAGCTAGTCTCCAGAAAGGAGTCTTTCCAGTGCATTCCTCTGCCATGTCCTTGATCATAAGTGTATGGTGTCTTTAGAAATAGGGTCTTACCTTCAACTTCTGGAGGAAAATGAGTAGCAATGTTTTAGTTAGTCTCTTGGACTTCTATGGCCAGCCAACAAAATGTTCTCCATCTTTTCTATTCATTTTGGTCTTAGAAAAACGTCTGATAAAAATCCATGGGGTGATGAGCCTTCTAATCCTTTCTGTTTGTGTATTTATGTCACTTTGTTTCATAAAAGCTACAGCACAACCTCAGGAATCAATAACTGAAGCAGTCAAGGTAGCATTTCCACTTTCAGTTATGAAGCTATTTGATTTTCCTTTCTTTTTTCCCTTAGTCCTCCTCAGGATTTATTAGTTGTTTATCTCTCCAGAGAATTAAATCAGTTTCCTTTCCATTTGTTTGAGTTTGTCTGTTTTTGTTACTGAGGAGTAAATCCCAGACCTCCCATGTACTAGAAGCACTCTGCCACTGAGCTACATACCAGGCCCTTCCCATGTCTACTGGATTATATTTTCTTTGAAAATTCCATGCCTGTATATAATGCATCTTGATTACTCTCACCCCATGCTTTCCTTTCTTCCTCCCATCATCAAATCACTTACACTCCTCCCTCAGGTCTCTTTTTCATGTTCATGTCTTTTCATTTTGTTTAATGACCCACCAAGTTTAAGCAGGGCCTTTTGCATGACCATGGCTATGTAACTCTCAGTGGAACCTGTAGGGCTCACAGTGTGTACACACCCAAAGATCATTGTTCTTTATTCCTGAGAATCCTGTAGTTGCTAATAGTTCAACAGAGAGGTGTAGGGCCCCATGAGCTCCTCCCATATCCATGATTGACTGTTGAAAGGTCCAGTCTTCAACACGCGCAGGATAGGCAACTGCAGCTTCTTCAAGCTCACTATAAAAGTGTGACTGTGCCGTGGCCAGAAGACAACCACAGTTGCCCCAGAAACAAAAGGGTCATCTGGGCCTGCTATAAACAATATGATAACTTAGAGGCAATATCTGTCCTATAACTGTTCTGTCTACTAAGGCTGAAGCAAGGAAAACTAGAATGCTGAATGGACAAACAGCAACTATCAAAAACCTATCAAAAGACAAGCAATAGCCTCACAGATGAACTTCTCTAAATAATTAGAGTATAATTAACACCAGTCATTCTAAAGCTCTTCCAAAACCTAAAAAGGAGAGCATGCATGTTAGAACATCAGCAGGACCATGATATCAAGTTATGACAAAGGCAGCATAAGAAATGGGAATACAGAATGATAAAGGACAATACATGACAATTGTCTGATGAATACAAATTTTAAAATTCTGTATCATACACAAACATGTCAAATTCAACAGGACAACAAAAATATCATAAATTAGAACCAAATAATATTTACTCCTGAAATTCAATGATGACAACATAAGAAATCAATCTAAGATAACATGTATGTAACATATTATAACAAAGTAAGAGAGAAAAGCCACTTGATATCTCAAAAAACACAACATTCAGTATCCAGTTATGATTAAAAACACTCAAAAAATAAACATAAATGCTTACCTCAATACAGTGAAGGCCATATATGAAAATCCTACAATTAACCTACTCAGTGGAAACAATTTGAAAATATCTTCTCTAAGATCTGATGTCAGGAAAAGGAGATTAACCCTCACTACTTCTATTCAACAGAGCACTAGAAATACTAGTCAGAGCAATTAGACCAAAAAATGTTTCAAACTGCAACTAAATTGGAAAAGAAAAAGTAAAATTAACTCTATACACAAGTGATGTGGTCATAAATGGTAGAAAACCTTAAGATGTCAGCAAAAATCTCTTGGAACTCACCAATGAATTCAGTAAATTTCCATGACACAAAAATATGGGATTTCTATCTATACTACCAATGAACTAGCCAATGATGAAATTAAGAAAACAATTCTTTTTGCAACAGCATCATGAAAAGCAAAGTGCTTAAAAAATGTAACCAAAGAGGTGAAATAAATATATACACTCAAAATGATAAAACATTGATACAGAAATTAAAGGTGACAATATGAATGGGAAAAACCACCTATTCGCTGATTAGAAGAATTAATCTCTTTAAAATATCTACACTACCCCAAATCACCCACAGATCCAATGTAATTGCTATCAAATTTCAAAGACATTCTTTGAAGCAACAAAAAGGCAGTCATAAGAGTCATGATTCCATGAGACTGAAGACCCAAAGCAATATTAAGGAAAAACAAACAAACAAAAACATAGCCCAACAGAAACATCTTTGCAAACTACACGCCCAACAGGATTAGTATGTAGATTACACAAACAACTTAAAAAAAAAAACTAATCATAAAAATAACACACAAACAACTCAGTCAATGGACTAATTAAATGAGCAGAAAGTTCTCAAAAGATGAATTCCAAATAGCCAAAAGACATGAAGAACAATCATATCACTGAGTAATCAGAGAAATACAAACTCCAAGAAGATTCTGTCTCACCCCAGGTATACTAGTTCTTCATATTTACCCTCAAAGACTCCACATCAAGGCATCACACTCAGGTTTACTGCAGCACCATTTGTAACAGCTAAATTATGGAACCAACCTAGGTCTCCATCAACAGAGGAACAATAGTGAAAATGTGTTTTATAAATACAAGGGGGTTGTTATCATTACCAAGAGTGAAGTTGGTTACTTGAAGGAAAATGGATACCACTCTGGAGTAATCTAAAGTGAGGCTCAGAAAAACAAATATTATATGTTTTCTCCCATTTGCAGTTTCTAGATCTTTTATAGTCATATACAATCATGCACAATAAAATGAAAATAGAGGTAAGATAGTTAAGAAACAAAGTGGCCAAATGGGAGGGAGTTGAACAAAGAAAAGGGTGTGGGCAATGAGTATGGGGAATACATTCAATATGTAACATATACCTAAACAAAAATTAAAATTAAAGTCAAGCAACTGAATAAGCAGCAATAGCCATCATCTGAACACAGAATATTGGTCCTCCCTAGGGACTGGGTGCAGAATGTTCAAATCTAGGGCAGTTTTCATACTGTAGATGATGCTTTACCATCTCTACCTAGTTGTTCATCCTCATCCTGTTCTTTTAGGTTAGCCTTAACAGTAGAACCTCTTAAAAAGACACATCATTTCTATGTTTCATGTCTTACTTTTGCCAGTACATGGTCTACTATTATGCCAAGTTTTAAAGGACAGTGTACAGATACTGATTCTCATTGTGGGAAAGTCCTCGTTTTCCTTTTTAATTAAAACACAACAATTTTGAGGTATTTCAGGATAAGAGTTGTATGGGCTGTAATCCTATTATCCCCATATTCATGCCTTATGTCACAGCACCTACAATTCGTACCCTTGTCTGTGTTGTTGGCATTCTGTGGCTACTTCAATTTATGATCTTTTTTGCGGAGTATTCCTAATGTCTTCGCCTTCAATGGTTGCGCCTCTATGTACTACCGTGTGTCGGGCTCTTCAGGCAACAGGTGTGCCACGCACTCTCTTATTTTCCTAGCCCCCCACCCCCTCCATATCCCTACTGCTGCCAACATGCCTAGCCACCAGAGGAGCATCTGCTGTTGCCATGGCTCACTGGCTTCCGCCTTCCTGGTCCTATGCTTTGCCTGCAGCTCCTCCCACTCTTCACCCCCGCAGAGATGCTGTCAGCAACGTTATCCTGAGAGATCCGGGTGGAAAGGATTGATGGGAAAGGGTATTAGCAAATCAGTAGGGGATGGTGGGAGGGGGAGCAGGTAGTAAGGTGGGTGATTGTGTCAGAGGATTGATGAGCAAGAGCGAGCGATGTGTGAGTAGGTGGGAAAGGCATGGGGGAAGTGGAAGGTGGGCGCGCAATGTCTTTTCACTGGAATCAGTGCTTTCACACACAATTGGCTACTGACGCTCTCTGGGTTGCCTTCCGCTTAGTGCTATGGAGACAGATCCAGTTTCTGTGGCACCTAACGCTTGTAAAACTTGGGCATGAGAGCGGGCTAGGCAACGAGGGAAGCTCTTCCTAGGATCAGGCCTGAACGTGGGCATTTATTTACAATAAGAAAGTAAACCACAAGAATTTTGTAGTGACTTATACACAGGTTTTTTTTTTTTTTCCTCCTGGGCCCAATATAGTGATTATTTTCATGTAAGTAGAAGACAAAGCTAATGTGTCACTCTTCTTGGCCATATACCAAATTTCCATCATTGTGCGCTGTAAACTGATTTATATTTTTATAAATGGGCCAGTTTGGTTGATGGAATAAAGAATGCTGACTTTTATTTAGGGCATCCCCTGGCCTTTCCCGTGCCCTGGACAATCAGATGAGCTGTATAAACAGCACAAGAGCCACCTTGAAACTGTTTAAGGTCTGCATCCCTTGTCTGAGGTCACGTAAGCAATTTTAAAGCTCTCTGAGCGATTATTTGCATTAATAAGCTTATTTACGTATTTAGATCTCCGTGGATCAATTTAATGCCTAGAAGGAGATCGATGCTGTCTGCTATCTGCAGATAGATGGAACCCATCCCGGGTTTCTTTAAAAAGAGGTGGGGTGGCCTCTAACCTTCACTCCGCATTTATATTATGTCATTGTTTCCACTGTTTTTTTCTTGAGTTCTCTCTTTCCTATCTGACCATTTCACACAAAGCATGGGTTTATAGGCCGCGAGAAGCTCCATTTCACCTGATAACTGAGGAAATCTTAGTTCAGAATTTCAAAATATTAAATAGTTGTAACAGTATTTGTCACTGTGGTTTTGAGAAGTGTCTTTAAAAGTTGGGCCAAACGTGACAGAGGTAATCACTCCTCTTGCAGAGAGTACGCAGGAGCAGATCAGTTGGGTTCCTGATTTTACAGGTAAGGAAACAAACACTGTGAAGCTCCGGAGGATACGTGTGCCCTCCAAACTCCTGACTGATAGCAACTAGCAGTGGGCCCTGAGTTTCCTCACCCACATTCGCCCACATGCTCTTCTTCCCAGGGCCCCTTTTGCTGACAGGCATCTGCAGCCAGATGAAAATCTCTGCGCTCCGGAAGATCCAATCTTCTCTTTCCCCGCGCGCTGAACAGACAGCTTTGGTAGCCGACTCCCGGGAAAGCAATCGGTGCTGGCATTAGCTCCCATGCAGCGCGTGTTGTAATGAGACAGGCTTTCCCTGTGCAGCGCTGACATCCTAGAAGGTGCCCAGAGAATTGCCAGGTGGGCAGTCAGCAGGGAGAGTCCACGGGCCAGAGCTGTATTATGGTCCCAGCAGTGACTCTTACTAAATGAACCACTGAACCTTACTGTTGCCGGTGCTCGCTCGCTCGGGGAGATTGTCCTTCTCCATAGCAGTTAATTTGTTTTTACCTCTCAATTAGCTTTTTCACAGAGTGTTTGATATGCTCAAGTTGCTAAGACTCCCTGCCCACATATGTTCCCCTCCCCGGCATTACCCATTGACATCTATGTTAGTCTGACTCATCAGCAGCATTTCCAAGCAGAATTCTTTTATCTAAATAGCACATGCGTGAAGATTGTCCGCTATCTGCAAATGAAGTGATACGTTCAAACCTGCTTAGCATTCTACAGTTTTGTGATCTGAAAATGGATTATTGAAGATAAAAATGCTTTTCTATAAATGGTGCTTGTATAAGTTTTGGTTAATGGAAGCAGCTATTCACATTAGGGGAAAGATACTGTCACAGGCATATTCGTTCAAATAAAAAAAAAACAATTAAAAAAAAACCGAATAGCGTTAATAAAATTTGGGAGGTAGAATTGTGTGACTACGCTTGGCTCATCAAAAGTTCCCTAGCAGTCTGTTAAAAGGAATATATGGAACCTTTTATTGACCAAACCCTTGTATATAATACATCATATTACACACAAACCAAATACCAGATACTCTAATGCAAGTTAAATACAAATTTAGGCATTAAATTAATGTGATCAGAGTGAAAATCCTGTTCTTTTTCCCCCTCTAGAAAGTCTAATCACAAAGGCTCATTAAATTTCCTGGCTGGGGACACGGTAACCCAACAAATTGCCTAACTGTTGATTTAGAGTAGTCATAGAGTAATTGTGGTGAGAATCATAATTGAATAAAAGGATGATTTTTTTTTTTTGTAGGACTGTTCACCATATTTTAGACATTTTGCTTTGTCCATAGTTAAGTACAGAACTGGAGTGAGAGAAAAAGCCCTGATGGAATGTAACTGCAGAGACTTAGAGAAAGCAATTCAGCCCTTCTAGGGTTGTTGTGGAGCAGATGAAGGCCATTTTGCAGACTTCACCAATGACTTAATTAGGGTTTTATTGCTGTGAAGAGACACCATGACCAGGGCAACTCTTTTTTTTTTTCCTTATCAGTTACATTTTATTAACTCTGTACCCGAGCTGTGTCCCGATCCCTCATTCCCTCCCATTCCCTCCCTCCCTCCCTCCTCTCCACCGTGCAGGGCAACTCTTATAAAGGAAAAAATTTAATCGGGGCTGGCTTGCAGTTTCAGAGTCACAGTCCATTGTCATCATGATAAGAAGCATCGTGTCATGCAAGCGGATGTGGTGCTGGAAAAGGAGCTGGGAGTTCTACACATTGATCCTCGGACAGCAGCAGGAAACTACTGACTTGAGCAGCTGAGGTCTCAAAGTCCTCACTCACGGTGATGTACTTCCTTCAGCAAGGCCAAATCTGCATCAACAAGGCCGCACCTCCTAAGAGTGCCACTTCCTAATGGGCCAAGCATGCAAACACAGGAGTGTATGAAGGCCATACACTCACAACCTCACAACCATTTTCCACTTTCCTTTGCTCTCCTGTCATTCTTATCCCAATCTTGGCTTTCGGGTATCCTTTGCTTTTATTTCTACCATTTCTTCAAAATTTGCCCTTAGGGTATATGTTCTCTAAAGGTAAGGTAGTTTCACAAATTTTTTGGACAGTTCCCCCCCCCCCTTGGAACCGTTATTTAAGACAGATGAAAGAAAGATGTATTGTTTGAGGCCATTGGATTTGATCTCCCGCTGACTCTTGACTGCTTGTTCA